CTGAACAATGCGTTACGTTAGATAAACGATGGATCTTCTATGGAAATTATCTTAACGATTAATATTTATGGGACGTGTTGTACGCAGGATTCACGTAGACGGCTAAACGTTGCATAACTTAACGGCACGTAGGATAATATAGATAATACTTGATCGCCATTAAATATCTCACCAATGACACGTTTTATCTCACGCCACTGATGTTTGGTTTCTCGTTTAGCGAGTCCAATCGAACTCTAATAATTGTTTAAACACCTTGCGACAATATTTATCGTTGTCGCGTTGGTCGATACATTGTTAAACTAAATAATTCGCACAAAAATTCAATGAAAATGACAATTCGATAATTTTTGAACTATCGTTAAAGTAATATCTGTATGTACTCGGGATTCGCGAAGTTAACTAGGTCTCCGGACATTCGATGATTTATTTTTTTGCTTGTTATCGCATCGATGATATAACTTCGATTTGTAACGAAATCGAAATTCCATAGAACAGACGGTGATAAGGCTGACTCTATGTTTTGGTCGAGAGGTATGTAAATAGACATGATCTAGTGGAATATTATGTGTGGGCTACGTGCTTATCTGGGCTTCTAGAAACAACTATTGTGTCAGACACTTCGGCACGTTCGCTGAGTAGGTCATTACGACTGATAAATCAAATTTAATATTATAGTATCGCTTGGTACAGGGAAACCTGCAATATAACGCATGATAATGCAACAGGCAGCGACATAACGCGTGGAAATGGAACTCAAGGCGATATAGCGAGTAGCGACATAACGCGCTGAAAATTTCATGCGTGGCGATATAACGTGCTGCAAATTCCACGCGTGGTGATATAACGCGCTGGGAATTCCACGCGTGGCAATATAATGCGTTGGAAATTCCACGCGTGGTGATATAATGGGCTGGAAATTCCACGCATGGCGATAAAACGCGATGGAAATTCCATGCGTGGCGATCATATAATGCGTTGGAAATTCCACGCGTGGCGATATAATGCGTTGGAAATTCCACGCGTGGCGATATAATGCGTTGGAAATTCCACGCGTGGCGATATAATGCGTTGGAAATTCCACGCGTGGCGATATAATGCGTTGGAAATTCCACGCGTGGCGATATAATGCGTTGGAAATTCCACGCGTGGCGATATAATGCGCTGGAAATTCTACGCGTGGCGATATAATGCGCTGGAAATTCCACGCGTGGCGATATAACGCGCTGGAAATTCCACGCGTGGCGATGTAACGCGCTGGAAATTCCACGCGTGGCGATATAACGCGATGGAAATTCCACGTGTGGCGATATAATGCGCTGGAAATTCCACGCGTGGCGGTATAACGCGCTGGAAATTCCACGCGTGGCGGTATAACGCGCTGGAAATTTCACGCGTGGCGATATAATGCGTTGGAAATTCCACGCGTGGCGATATAATGCGTTGGAAATTCCACGCGTGGCGATATAATGCGTTGGAAATTCCACGCGTGGCGATATAATGCGTTGGAAATTCCACGCGTGGCGATATAATGCGTTGGAAATTCCACGCGTGGCGATATAATGCGTTGGAAATTCCACGCGTGGCGATATAATGCGTTGGAAATTCCACGCGTGGCGATATAATGCGTTGGAAATTCCACGCGTGGCGATATAACGCGATGGAAATTCCACGCATGGCGATATAGCACGTGGTGATATAACGCGCTGGAAATTCCACGCATGGCGATATAGTACGTGGTGATATAGCGCGCTGGAAATTTCACGCGTGGCGATATAACGCGCTGGAAATTCTACGCGTAGCGATATTACACGCTGGAAATTCCACGCATGGCGATATAGCACGTGGTGGTATAACGCGCTAGAAATTCCACGCATGGCGTTATAGTACGTGGTGATATAACGCGCTGGAAATTTCACGCGTGACGATATAATGCGCTGGAAATTCCACGCGTGCGGATATAACGTGCCACTAGTTCCACGCGTGGCGGTATAACGCGTTTGTAATATATAACAACCAGCAGTATAACGCGTAGTATTGTAACTTACAACAGGGCAACGTTGTAATGCAATATATAGCACTGCAATCTAAAGATACATCTGTCAATAGTAAAACATTCTCTCGTTATATTGCCAAACTGTTTATTAGCATTGTTGAACTTGCTAAGCAGAAATTTTGCTTCTTTAAAATTAGCTGACTCTCTACATACGTTTATGTAAATATAACAATGTAACGAGAGTAAACGATAATCCATGCAATATCCTGGCATGCCATCGCTGAATCTATTATGACATTCAGCGCGTTAATTAAACGCCTTCGGCTGCCCAAGACGCGTTCAATTTCAAGTTTTCATTATATTTACCGTCGAACAACAGCAATTAAAACGATTTTACAGTCTCTGATACGAGATACACCGTATCCATAGTCAGTAAAATTGGATTTGCGAGGACTTAGGCTACGATATTCCGAGAATATCCTATTTGCTCGTATCACGCTCCGAGCACGAATCGTGCAGTTAGTGACTACCACGTGTTTGTATACCTATCGTTTATATACTCTGCGTGTGTTATTTTTTATTAACAAATTCTGGCGCTGATAAAAATTAACGATAACTCTAAGCACCAGAGGGGAAGTGCATCGCTTGCGAAACCTTATTTGTAGGATTTAACGCAATCGCTTGATCGTTGCAATCGTTCTCTTCGGAACAAAGGAAATGTCGATCGACACGATCAACAATGCATTTCGTGTTTTTCTTTCGACTAACCTTTCACGAATTCAACCAGATTTTTAATGACTCGAGTCATTAGTGTTTTGAGTTGTGTTTCCATTCTTTTCTCACATTTATTTAGGGATTTGAAGTTTCGGAAGTTTAGGATTTTAAGGATTTGTGAGCTTATCGACTTTCGATCAGTTCGAACTGTATATTCCGGGGAATGTCAGATCATCTTGTAATTAAGGATGCTAATGAGAAACCGATAATTCTAATGACTCAAAAAGCTCCAACCATTGATCCAATTCCCATACATATTCAAACCTAGACTATAACATTGTTTTGTTAACTGAAAAATTGTTCAAATCATACCCCTAAAATGAAGCAAATATTGAAAGCAAATTCTACAACATTTTTTCCTAAAATACACAATTTACATCGTCCATTCGTTCCATGAATTTATATCGTTGTCTTTCCGCGTTAACTCCATTTCACACCTGCCAGAACACACAGTTAGCAGTAATGTATTAGCGCGGATGAATGGAACGGGAGTACATCGTCTGAAATAATCAGTGACCGATGAAATTAACGAACGTCGAAGCTCGGATCAACAACGGACGACATCTCCCTATTTTTAGATCGCGTTCGATGATGCATCGTGAAAAATCACACTGTTTAAATAGTGTACGATCGTGTTATTCCGCACGATTTGCATGTAAAAAGTTCCATTACTTTTGCGATAGCCTTGCAACAGGTCGTGCAGTATCGTCGTCGTTCACCCACCAGTATCGTGCAACGTGAACTTTTTCTCCTTTTCACGGTTACTATTTCCAACACGTTCGCAACGTGTTTCAATGTCATGGTTATCTCGCTTTAGAAACGTCAGTGGGCCATTATCCTGACGCGATCGATTGTCAACGAGGAATTTTAATTAACTCTTAATGGGTGTTAGGGCTGAAATTCATTCTAAATTTAATTGAACTTAAAGTTCATTATTTTAGGGAGAAATTGTTAGAGGCTCAAGTTAGGCAATTTCAAAGTTGAAGTTCTCAAGGTTGAAGAACTTCAAGGTTCAGTAAGGTTGAAGAACTTCAAGGTTCAGTAAGGTTGAAGAATTTCAAGGTTTATAACGTTTGAAGAACTTAGAAATTCAAAGAGTTTGAAGAACTTGAAGGTTCAAAATGTTTCAAGTACTTCAAGGTTTAAAGACTTTGAAGAATTTCAAGGTTCAAAGAGTTTGAAGAACTTCACAAGTTTCAAAGAGTTTGAAGAAATTCAAGGTTCAAAGATTTTTAAGAACTTCAACGTTCAAAGAGTTTGAAGAACTTCATGGTTCAAAAAGTTTTGAAGTACTTCAAGGTTTGAGGACTTTGAAGAACTTCAATGTTCAAAAATGTTCAAGAACTTCAATGTTCAAAAAGGTTCAAGAACTTGAAGGTTCGTAAAGTTTGAAGAACTCCAAGGTTTAAAGACTTTGAAGAACTTCAAGGTTCAAAGAGTTTGAAGAACTTCAAGGTTCATAAAGTTCGAAGAACTTCAAGGTTCAAAGAGTTTGAAGAACTTGAAGGTTTATAAAGTTTGAAGAACTTCAAGGTTCAAAGAGTTTGAAGAACTTCAAGGTTCATAAAGTTCGAAGAACTTCAAGGTTCAAAGAGTTTGAAGAACTTCAAGGTTCATAAAGTTCGAAGAACTTCAAGGTTCAAAGAGTTTGAAGAACTTCAAGGTTCATAAAGTTCGAAGAACTTCAAGGTTCAAAGAGTTTGAAGAACTTCAAGGTTCATAAAGTTCGAAGAACTTCAAGGTTCAAAGAGTTTGAAGAACTTCAAGGTTCATAAAGTTCGAAGAACTTCAAGGTTCAAAGAGTTTGAAGAACTT